CCCTACATTTTTAGCAAAGTACAATAAAGAAATAAAGAACAGACCGAGTGATACAGAAAATCGTAATGCAGTGTTTCTTCTGTTATAGGATCACCCTGTCACTCGATTTTCTACTCTGCCCCATATCTATCGAAGTGCAATTTTCAGTGGTAGCCATATCACATTTTGATTCGCTTTGTGTGCATCCCTATCAACAGGCTTTCCTACTCAAAACTGAGGTAGAGGTTTTAGTTTTTGCACCTGCACAAAGCTGATGTGTTTACAGCTAAAAGATACAAGACCATGCAATGACAAGACATCCTTCTTGTTTGTTTGCTTGTTTTCTCATCTTTAGCCTTTATTATAAGCCCTAAATATAATACTTACAGAAGCCTGTTACAGAATGCACAAAGTAGAAGAGGCTGCCTTGGCTGTTCCAATCTAAAAGCATTCTGGCAATCATCTACAAGTTTCTATTGCATAAAAAAAAATTTAATTCCAAGTCTTCTAGGACAATGTTAATTAAAGAAGTTCTGTAATTAAATCAGGCCTGATTTTTATATTGTGATATTTACATTGTGAGCTGCTTTCTACCACTATTTCTTCTACTCCTCCAGCAGATATTCACAAAACGGTCAAAAGCTTTCATAGCAGTATAGCATAGAACAAACAAAAAAATGAAGGACAAAACAGGACATTGAAAAATACACTATCCCAGGATTATGTCACACCAGTGCTCATCTGAAAATAAAAGTCCTGCTCCCAAGCTCTTCTTCACAGAATCACAGAACGGTTGAGGTTAGAAGGGACCACAGGAGGTCTTCTTGCCCACCCCCATGCTCAAGCAGGTCACCTATAGCTCACTGCCCAGGACCATGTCTAGACAGCTTTTGAATATCTCCAGGGAGGGAGACTCCAACAAGCTCTCCAGGCAACCTGTGTTAGCACTCAGTCACCCTCATGGTGACTTGTGCTTTCTTGGACTTTCCAAATTCAGTTAAATTTCTACTTCTACAGCAACTCTTTGCACTTTCCTCTTTTTAAATTGAATTTGAGTTGAGAAACAGAAGGCAATGGGTACAAGTGAAATACACTTGAACATAAATTTTTATTTTATTTCTTTACTGCAAAGGTGGTCAAACACTATAAAAGGTTGCCCAGAGAGGTTACAGAGTGTCCATCCTTGGAAATATTAAAAACCCAACTGGAAAAGGCTTGAGCAACCTCCTGTAATTAGAATAGAATATTTCAGTTGCAAGGGAGCTACAACGATTACCTAGTCCAACTTCCTGACCACTTCAGGGTTGACCAGAAGTTAATGCATGTTATTAAGGGCATTATCCAAATGCCTCTTAAATACTGACCAGCACATGGCATTGACCACCTCTCTAGGTGACTCTGCTTTGAGTACGGAGACTGGACTAGATGATCTTCAGAGCTCCTCTTCCACCCTCAAATGATTCTGTGTTTCTGTGATATCCTCAGCAAAGCTGTCAATGTCTTTGACGAGATGGATGTCACCACTCTGTCACCTCCACTCCCTATTCACATGCTACTGATGAAACATCACTAGCAGATATGCAGGGACTATTGCAACAGAAAAACTCATCAAGCACTTGATGCCTTGTTGCTACCCAGCTCATAGTTTTGAGTCAAGAAATATGCAGTAGTGTTGACTGGTAAACATTAAGACTTAACAGGAACTGCAAATCTTTTCTCATCTTCTTCAGTAAAATTTTGCAAAGCTAGTCTACTTTGGGAAACAAGTAAGTATTTTTGATATTATGTTGTATATTGTTCTGAGGTATTTTTATGATTTACTTGCTAGTTTTCTGGCAAATCTCCTGGTGACAGGAGGCAAAACAGGAAAAATTGTGTTAGAATGTACAAAAGCTGTGTGCTCACTCAGTGCAGACTGGCATATGACTGGTTGAAAGCATATGCTGGGAAATCATCTGAACATTTGTCTACTGAAAAGGAGCATCTTAACTACTTGAATTCGTGTCGTACACAAGCACTCCAGTGTTCACTGGCTGTCATCATAACTGAGCAAAACCCAAGATTTGTGAACTAACATACTCAGTAATGACAGTTTTACTGGTTCTACATCTCCCTGCCTTCCTAACAAAGGGTATTTTTCTAGAAAAAGGTATAGACTTTACTGTCACAAGAAGGAAGTAAACAGCCATAACCAAACTTATAGCCAGCATTTTTAAAAAAATCTGACACATTTTCAGAAATGTTTCTTCACCACAACACTTTGAAATGTTTTTCCACTTGCTAGAAAATTCTCAAGCTTAGTTACACTAGTGAGTGAGTTTCTGCTTTTAGATTTCAAATTAAAGACAAAGCATACAACTTTTAAAGAAACCTCAAATTATCCCATGGCTCTCATTTCTTTGAAGATGCATTAACGTTACATATTTAGTAAGCACACATTCGTCCATGATACATCACTATGGATTCATCCACACTAACTAAATTGTCTAACCTTGTACATTTGTGCTGCAATGCATCTCTTGCTGCCAATACATGCCAGGAGCACACTTTCAGTTATGCTTACTTTTCCTAACAATTTAGATGAGTGACTAATACAAAAGAGTTTATACTCAACAGCAACGGCAACAATTTCGTTTCTAAATTTTCTGTCTAGGCTAGCATTTTTCTGCAACATATTTTACTTGCAATACACCTCATAATTATTTTCAGGAAGTTATTATCATTTAAGTGTACAAAAACATTAAGAACTGAAGAAAAGGAGAGAGTATCAAATGAATCTTAGTGACTTCCATATTAGAGTATTTTGATTTTAATTCAGCAGAAGCAAGCTTCAGGAACATTAGATCATTTTGGAGGACTTTGGAAATTTTGTTCAACTAAATCTCTGCAGATATTTGTGGACGGACAGGAAACAGGTCTCAAGAAACCCACGGTTGTGACGCTTCTTTGTTATTTGGAGTCTAAATAAGGATCTCTAAATTCTACTAGCAACACATGAACTCTTAAGAAAGCTACCATTAAGTGCACATTATCATTTAATATTTTATTTATTAAAACTGTGCTGTGATCAAGTTTAAATGCAGCAGATGATGCAAAACCAGTCTCACTCACCGCTGAGGGAGAAGTCTGTCATTAGCTAGGTAGCCTAGTTTATGTATTTCTTTACTGTAATCTCCATACTTGGACTGGACAGCATAAGAAGCCAGAAGAACTGCAGTTTCTGGTGGGCAATATATTTCATCATTTAAGATCGCTTCTTTGACTTGCAGGAAGAAAAGTCTCTGAGTTATTTCCTGAATTAATTCTTCAGATACATCCTCTGGAAAGAACTTGGCCCTGAACTTAAACTGCAAAGGATTTTCTTTCCTTACATCTTGCTGCGTTACCTGAGGGAGAGGAATAAAGAAAAAATAAAAAGAGCACTAAATTATATATTAAATATAATTAACTCAGTAGTTTTGAACTCTTTAGCTCCTCTACACTGAAATCCAGGGCATCCTGACAAGCCCACTGTGGAACTCAATAACGCTTCACATGGCACTGAATCAAGTACACCAATTTGGATAAATCAGACAATTTTGAAATACTACTCAAAGGCTGTTTAAGAGGCTTTTTGTATGCTTGTGAGGATTTGTATTTATCACAAAAAAAAAAATCTGTAAAAAAAGAAGTTGTAATACATATTTAAAAAAAAAATCAAAACTATATCCAAGGATGAATTGCAGGAAATAAAAAATTAGGGTCTAATAAGGTTTCTTTAGCGAGAACTACAGCACATTTCTTCAGTGTAAGTGTAGAGTTGGATTCTGTCAAAAGTCTTTGAATTATTGAACTAAATTCATGTGCTTTGTTGCTGTGCAAAAACCCCATAATTCCATTCATCCCACCATTTTTCTAGAATGGATAAACCTTGTAATCATTATTTCTGTGAAGAGATCAGATGTGGTCATTTTAAGTTTTAAGTAAATGTCCAATTCAAACTTCAACAAAACCTCATTTTTATGTAGAATTTCCCATTTCTTTTAGGATCAGCTCTCATCACTGATTAAGCCTAAAGCAAAAACATTCAAAATTAAACTAACTTTAACATCAAATAAAACACTGATTGTTAAAAGGTACATTCATAATAAATCTATACATCCCAATTCCTCAAGCACTTTATTACACATTTAATTTTATGTACACTAGTAGTCCCTCTAAAACTTCTTCACTATGCCTGAAATGATATATCTGCTGGCTTGACTTGTAGGAAGTATCAAAAACCATAATGCAACAATTTAATCATGTATGTAAGGCAGCATATTCAACATTTCAGATGTCAATTTTAAAAGTTTTGCTCACTTTTCATTACTGTCGATTTGCTTCTGATTTACATACACAGCATCTCACTTTAATCTCACCAGTGAACAATTAGTTGTACTCTTGCCATAATAAAACCTTATTTGCACATCTATTCTGTGATTTATCAGATCTTATCTGTATTTACTGCAAATATTTAAATAGCAACAAGTTAAGAGCTAGTTTATGATGATGCATTTAATAATCAAATGTTACAAGTTTAAAAAAAAAAGATAGATAACTGCCTTAGTCAAAGAAATTAGAATACCCTTGCTGCTCCTGAACTGCACCAGCAACTTAACTTGCTAAAGACTTTCATAGTAGAATGTCTTCTGTATTTTTCACAAATGATGCACAAACCCTGTAGTCTTCAACCACTGGAGTCATGCCATTCGTGCTAACAAAATATTTACAGCACTACAACATTTATTGCATATGAAACTAGACACATATGAAATTCTAGGAGACAGCTTTGGTGGCTAGCAGGTTTAACTCGCTGGATTTACCACAGAGGAGAAGGAAAGATCATATGAATGCAGACAGTGGGACTTGCTCCTAAAAACCTCCCAATTTACCTCCTAATACTGAAGATAAAAAAGGTATTCTTGATTAAGTTGAACTCAAAAAAATCTCTTTATTCTAAACAGCGCCATTAATAACCTGACAGCCAATATTAAAATGAAAAGTGAACATTCAAATTCATACAGAGATTTAAAGTAAAATGATCTGGTTCCCAAAAGCTGGGAGATACAAGGTGCTCAGTGCTGATGGGGAAAAATAAAACAAAAATTATCCTAAAATCTACCTCTTAGATACTTAAACAGAAGTTTAGGACCCTGTTATTGGTGCCTTGTTTAAAGACCTATAGCTGTATACATGCAAATTCCTGACACTCAATTATTTCACACACCCCCCCCCCCCCCCCCCAACTGTAAAACATTTATTCTATTATATTTTGCTACAAGAACCCAGGACAATCATATGAATTTAAGTTTTCTTAATGCATGCACCAGCATGGTACTGGAAATACAGGAAACAGTATCTCATTCTCCAATTAACTGTTGATGCATCTTTGCATATTCTTTTGTAACTAACCAAACTTAAAACAGTGTTTTGTCATTTAAAGCAAACTAAAAAGCAACTTTCCAACTAAATTTGAAGCCAGCTATATCTCACCTACAACATTAAAGCAGCAAGCCTTATAAAAGCATATTTCAAACTGTACAATTGCCTAAATACTAGGGAATTGTTACCTTTTTATTTAGCTTCAGCCAAGTCGAGTAACCTTTGCTGTCCACATACTGTAGCCCAAAGAACCAGACTTCACGAAGACCAACAGTTTTCACCACCTAAAGATAAACGATCCATAACAATCAGTAATCGCTACAACAGGATTTTTTTAATGGCAATTAAGCTACAGAAACCATCACAAACGGAAATGGAATCAAGTTTTAAAAGAACAAAAAAAAAATAGCAGCAAAACATCAGGTTCAGAGAAGCATTCACCTCAGAGTTCTAAATAAACTCAAACACCATGTTGCCAAACTACCAACTTGAGTCTGCAGTTTACTGCGTACATCAAACTCAGCCCTGAGGAATACAAGGTATCAAATAGGACCCTGATATTTGAAATCATGTCTGGGAAGTGATCTACAGACCTACAGACAAGTCCACTTCAACAGAAGACAACTGGTAAAACTATAATAAAGAATAATACTTGTGAACAAGTATGAGGTAATGAGGACGAATCAGCTCTGGCAAATATTTTTGAGATCTTCCAAGGGTTAATGATAAAAGGGATAAGGATGATCTAGCTGATAAACCATACATGGATTTCCTAAAAGATTTCTGATCAGGTCTATCACCAAAGGCTAATAAAGAAACAAAATTGTCCTTGAATAGAGGGAAGGTCTTTTTATGGATATACTAGTTAAAAAGAAAGAAAAAATAAACAACCTGTTTTCACAACAGACTTGTAGTGTAATCACTAGGGAAGTCCCCTAGGACTTCATATGTGATCTGCAAAAAAAGATGAAACTGATGTGACAAAATCTGCTGTAGATAACCTTTCATAAAGATCTGTGAATGAACAGTAAAGAAGAAGATGAACTTCAATAAAAGATTATATTTAACAAAAACAAAATACTGTACATAAAAGACAACAATTCTAATTGTGCGAACAAAGTTCTTGTAAAGGATAAAAGCAACAAAACTGTTATATTACTATACAGGTCTATGGTATTCCCAAATCTCTAATGCTACATGTGGACTAGTCACACCAACTTAAAAAAGGATGCTGCAGCACTGGAAATGTTTCAGAAACGTTGAAAAGAATGATCAGTGATATGAAACATTTTCTGCCTAGCTAAGATGAGAACTAGGGCTACTGACAGAGAAATGAGGAAAGGAAAAATGTGATATAGGTCTATAAAACTTGCATGGCATGTAGAAGGAAAATAGAGAATGATTATTCATTATTTCTCATAATGTAAGAATTAAGAGTATCAACAGAAATCATTAGATTGCAGGTTCAAAGCAAACAAAAAGAAGCACTTCTCCCACACAGAGTATAATGAAGCTGTGGAACAATCTTAAAAGACTTCTGCATAGTAAAAGTACATGTGGATTCAATAAGCAATTAATCAGAAAGGTCCAGCAAAGACTTAAGTAACTGTAAACTCTGGCTACAAAAGATCCAGTATGGCAGTACTTACATATGTTCTCAGGCTGCACCATGCTGGCAAGCTGGTTTACTGAAGGCTGTTTTATGGAAGCATTCAGGTGCATGTGAAGTAAACAGAATTTTACACATAGATCCTCCTCCATTTTAAAGTAGTACTATCGGGTTGCAAAATTAAGAGTTGGAAAATTAGAAAATGTCACAAGATAGCTTCTGATGTCTCGCATATTTGAACTAGTACTTAAGTATCATTCAAGTCCACCTTTTTCCCTCCTCTACCTTTTCACCTTCAAGCTCCAAAGCACAGAATGGACAATGTTCATGGATCCAACCTGATTCCTTTAGTAAGCAGTTATTTTCCCTAGAATTTCTACATCATTTACTTTACAACATGAGAAATGTTAAGAACAAGTTTATGTTACCAGTATGGTCCTGAGTAACATTAAATTTGGTGTCCCAACACAGAAATTCCAGACCTGCTGCTTCTTTTGGTGCAGATCTCCTACGTGATGCTCAAACTACTTAGGACTTTATCCGATGACTCCGAGAATGCTCTTTACCTTGCAGCTGTCCAAGCTGAGACTTTGTACATGATTAGCTCTGAGCTGGAAAATTCAGTAAAAACTGCAGATGCTCAACACCTCTGCCCATAAGGCATAATGAGACAAGTGCTTATGCTCATGTCAAAATGTTTTGCTCTCACCTGCCAACTGTGGCCCTTCAACTGAGATGCACATCGCACATTACTTGAATACAGACAGCTTGCCTGCTGCAGTGCAGTTACATAATGCTTGCAAATCGACACTAAAAACAGCTTACGCATTAGCTTGTTTTACTTCAGACTCCACAAATAAGGAAAGAGCATTATCTATCACTGCCTCTTAGCTCAAAGGAAAGACAAAAAAAATTCTGAAACATTGTACTAAGATAATATAAACACTTATGCACTGCAGTAGTGTGATATGAAAAATAAATACAGAAAGAAAAACTTAGGAGTTTGATTCTGACTTAAAAGATTCATTAAGTGGCTTCAGGCAAGTCTTCATCACATCCAACAGATTTATCCAGTATCACATCCTACAACTTCACTATTAATAGGCAATAAAAACTTCTTGGAGAAGAAAAGCAACCAAAGCAATATACATGTTTTGGCAAACCAACACACACACATAAAGACAACCTAGCAAGAATTTCACTGTGTCAGCTTCCAAAAGATTGTAAGGGAGGTTCCTGAGATATCTGGAAAGTATGGTGGGGTGTACCTTGAAATAAAGGATACAACCCTCCCATTGTTTCCAAATGGCAACTACAGTAAACCAGAGGTACTGACAACCCACCCCATTACCAGCAGTGTGGAAACCTTTCCACCAGGGTTCTTCCTCTCCTAGGAAAGTTACAGATGATAATTGGTTGACTAAAGGAGGACAGATCTCCTCTTGCCCATTGTGACCACTGACAGGATAGACAGAAGGAGTAATGATAAATATGTTAGAACACTTTCTGAAATACAAGTAATTTTTTAAAAGTTTTTGCAATAAATAAGAACCTTATTGAGTTTCACAATAGAAAAGAGAAAGCCACAGATGTCAAATGGTGAATTGTCTGCTAGCAGATAAGGATGATGAACAAACACACCTGAAATGGGAAACAAATCAACAACTCCAGAAAACACCAGTTGAAAGCTTAAAAGAACTGACTGGAAAAAAAGGACAAGCTGTTCACCAAAAATGTCAAGGAGCACTAGACAACAGGTAAATTCACAGAGAGGTTATTTTCTGCAAGTAATAACCAACAAGTCTACTGCCATGTCCATCATTTCTGGATAAACCTTGAAGACCAAGCCTCTCAATAACAGTGTTATTCAATTCTCTTTCTATAGAGAAAGAACATAACTTTTTTTCTGAAAATTTCATGCTGGTTTTGCAATACAGTTCAGCTCCTGATGTTACTCCATGGAACCCACATATGAATTTAAGATCAGGCTGAAAACACTTCTCTCCTCAGACAGCTATGCTGGTTGACTTTGCCTCACCTAACAACTTTTCAATTTAAACTTCCAGAAGTTGATTTTAAGAGCTGGTGAGACATCAAAGTCTACACAGTGGATTGAGGAATAAAACTGAAGAGAGTATGAAAGAGAATTCAGAGCTGTATCTTTGTTCCCCATTTGTGAATGCCCCTATTTGGATGAACTCGATTACCTGGGCACAAGCCGTTACACAGCAGAACGTCACCCCACCCAATACTGCATGGCAGAAGATAGCAAAGGTTGGCACAAGACAAGTAAGAGCTTGAGGTTTCTGTGCTACAGAATACCATACATTTTATCTGATAGTGGTTTTGGTTAGACAAAAAGCAGGACAGCCCCTTTCTACAAGAAGTCTTTATAAGAGTATTGAAGTCTATTCCTACGTAGAGGCTGAAGATATACTGCTACTTGTGTCAGAGAAAGGGGTGGGGATGGAAGTGTTAAGAGTCAGATAGTATTTTCAAACAAAAATTGCAAATGAAATTTTGTTCATCTAAAAGAAAAAACTCAGTGTTACAAACCAATACATGTTCTCCTTTTAACTTACATACTACAACATTTAATTGACTCTTAAAGGTCAATTAAAAGTTTAAGAGTTCTATAAGAACTCTTAATGTGTTACTTTCTCTTAATACCCATCTTTACATACTTTAAGCATCTATAGTGGAGTGGACAGTAAAAAACAGCTCTGCTAGACATAATTGTTAATACAGTTAAACTGTTTTTGAAGAGTAACTTCAAATATTTCTGCATTTTTAACTAAATGCATATATCTTTGCTCTAGATAGTGTAACATCTTTACTGGTTTCTTGAGGAAAACCAAAACACATTGACAAGATTCTATTCTTAACATTTTCTAGAACACTCCACAACCTAGATCAAAAAATTGTTTCACAATTCTGATGGCTAACATCACATGAAATGAATGTGAGAACAACCCTTTTTAAGAAATCGTTCCTTTAGTGCTTTTACCTGGTTAACCATAGAGACACTATCAAGTGAGAACGTGTAGTTCTGATAGGTCTGCAATCCATGAGCACATTAAAGCCACAATTTTCCCTTTTCCACTTAATTTTTTTTTTTTAATTTAAATTTCAAACTGGATCATAGGACAACATTACTTTTCTAACATTTGGGAAGTTAAAAAGTATTGACAACTTCTATTCTTGGAAAAAAAATAAAAGACGTTAGCTTTCCTTAATGAACTTTTATTGTTACATTTATTATTAAATAGAAGGCTGTATAAATTTATCATATATGTAATTCTAATAATTATATTGCAGTTGTAACTATAATGTGATTAGACATAAAAAATACCGTTAATTTCAAAGCAGCTCTATATGCATGATTCAACTGAAGCCTCACCTATTTACACAGAGTTGTCTTTGAATTTAATACATTCCATGAGAAGTAATGAGGAAGTTCAAACTGAGAGCATAGCTTAGATAACATATGGAAAAACAATCCATATGTGAGAACACTTCCACTTTCTCCAACTATGTCTTAATACCCACAATAGTTTTATGTGTTTGTTCACATACATACACAGAGACACATGTAAGTTACCTGATCAAAGAGCTGCTTGCCTGTTGTATTGGGCTGGATGGCGAATTCCAGCTCTGCATCCATTGTGGTTACTCTGACATTGATCTACAGAAAACAAAGAAACAATTAGATCATACTGTAACAGCGTAATGCTTCTATATACTGTGATTAGCCTGTAAGAAACAAGATAAGTAAATTCAACAACTTTAATGGTCTTGTACATACACAGAACACAGCAGATATAAAAATGGAAAATTTGAATCTGCAAGAAATCTCATCTTTTATTCAGTATAAAAGCATATTCAGGACAACATTTAACACTAGGCTTGAAGGTCAAACCAGGGAACAAGGTTCAAAATCAATTTAATGGGATAGCTGGCGTGACTACTGGACACTCAAAGAACACTGGGACATTCAGCTACTGGGCACTATCTTTCAGTGGACTTCCCAAATGTATTCAAAAGGTCCCAGTCATATATATATAATTTTAAGGTATTTATACTTGGCAATATAAAAAGACAAGCAGCCTCCTGCCCTGCCCTTTCTAAAATTAAGAGGTTCAGGGGTCTTAACAGGACTAGAGCTTGTACACCTCAGGACAGACTAATAGCAGATTTTTCATCAATGAAGGAAGAACTATGTAAGTTAGCTCCCATTAATACTGATCCCATTCAACTCCCTTGCTACAAGACTGAAAAACGACCGCTACTCCGTGAACTTCTTCCTTCTCCTGAAATAGAGGACCATGACCTGAGAGTCACTGTTTTTGTTTCTTCTAAAACAAGCAGTCAAATATTCCAGGAGATATGCAGAAGCCTACCTTACACGGAAGTACAACAATCTGTTCCAATTTCTCTTCAACTGGTACACACAGAAGAGAGAATTTTCATGAAACAGAACAAAGTACTAAATGCACAGAACTGTCTTTTCACTATTAGAATGGTCTTTTTCCTGCTGCCAGGATATCACATTTTATTTATCCTTAGTGAATAGGAATATAAAGTGTTAAAGGTCAAATCTACTTTGCTATAAATGCAAAAAAAAAAAAAAAAAAACAAACAAACCCAAAAAACAAAAAACACAGAAAGATGAAACTTATTTAAGGAATGGGAATAAATTAGAACTTGTATTACAGGTTCTTACACTACTTGATCTACACCAGTGTAAACCATTTCCACGAACTGTTACCCTAATTTTGCCACCAGGTGGAATACTTTGAGAAGTGAGAGTCTGGAAAAGCCTCCACAAGACAGAACACAGAAGGGAAACCTAAGGTGTGAAAAAGAAAACTGGATAGAAGTTTGTCCCCATGCAACAGATTAAGCTTGTTCACCCCCTTCTTTAATGTCAAGGTAAACAACTTTGGGCACGAGCTGGATACACAAGACAAGAGCAGCAGGAGTCTGAGGACCTCTAGGTTATAGACCTGCAAACAAGGAAGATACCAGGGGGTCAGCAAACTTTTTGTGTGCAAACACTGATAAAGAACAAGAGTTGAAGGCTTTGGAGTAAAAGATAGTATTTTATTGCCAAAAAAAAAAAATTAGAGGGTGTGTGTCAGGAGGAGGAAAAAGCGATGTTTTCTGTAGACTCTCACTATGCCCATTTCAAGAGGAAAAAGAATTGCTTACTCTCTAACAGAACAACCATTTTAAATGGTAGGTCTAACCCACTGCCAGTTGCACTGGTTTAAGTGTTGGGGTTGCCCCTTAATTACAGTAAGTTATTTTTTTTAAAGCAGTTTTCCAATTTTAAAAATGGAATGTGCTTTAGGGCAACGACAAGTAAGCAAGTTAAAGAATAAGGCTAAAATGTAACTTTATTAAATGCCAAAGCACTCCATTATGTAACAGCGCTGTTGCCAAAACAAGAAGCACCAGGGAAGACCTACAAAGCACAGCAAGTTCAACTAATCACAGCAGACTTCTTAAAGAGTTGCAGCAGAAACTTCTTACATAAATATCCTTATAACAAACGTCATCTTCTACAAATGCAAGAATTACTACCTGAAAGTCTATATCCCTCACAAGAACTAAAATATTCAAACAGTAAAATAACAGAAGTGATACAGAGGCAAACGCAACACAGCCTGCAGATTCTGTTCACTTCTGGATGTTACTGCATCAAATAAAAGTTGAGTGCTCTACGAGAACACAGCTGCCCCATCCACAATAGATACACATTAGGAGTACCTGGTCACTTATACACACTACAGCAACTGCTTAAGTCTTCAGAATTTTCTTTTTCCTTGAACTTATGATTAACACACCACTCGTTAGTTATTATTTATACTCTCAGTTCTACTAAGAAAGTCACAACTTAAATGATAGCAATATAAAAACGTTATCTTTCATGATACAAGTTACTTAAGAAGAGACTTATAAAGTTAACACTACACTTGATCATTTTCCTTCTGAAAATGTTTGGACTGACTTAGATTTTTGGGATACAAGCACTGAGCTTTTACGACCTTATAACATTGTTTCACAGCTTCAGTCATTTGTGGGCATGGAAAGTAAGATGGTTACTCTTGGAAAAGCCAGAGACTGAGCCCAGAAGGTTTACTTATCTGATCCAAACCTCCATCACACAGTACGCTCCCAACAGAATCAAACCTCTGGTGTCAGTTGCCTTTTCTATAAAATAAAGCTAGACAACTACATTAAAAAGAGTCATGGGGGAAGTTTCCACATCATAAACAAGGAAGAGAAAGAAGGTCCAGTAAATTCAGCAATGGACTGTCACGCATGTAATCTGTTGTTGAGTATCCAGTTACTTTGAAGCTACACTCCTAATGTGACATTGGTGACAGGGGGAAATTGTCTGAACCACAAATTATGCAGACACTAATCTGAGCGTGATTACTCCGAACCAACTTTACCACATGAATATGGAAACAGGAAGGAGCTCTTGCGATGGTGACAAGAGAAATGTACGAAGGTCTCCTGCAGCAAGTGTTGGAAAGCTACCACTGCTCATACCACAAGACCCATTTAATGACTGCTTTTCAGTCTTGCACTCACCAGCATTACACACCTCCCTTCAAACGTCAGAAACTATCAGAAAGCACTGGACAAGACTTAGTCAATTACTTCACCTGCTCAGTCCAGAGGCAAATCCTGCTCTGCTGTGCATGGGTTCAGAGTGAGAGTTGCAACAAATCTCACTTGGTATATTCATATGTAATTTTGACTGAAATCTGAGTAGATGTCTTTTAAGGATCCTACTTGGTAAAATAATCCAGAAACTCTCTACGTGATTGTGCAATTCACAGGAGTATGCCTGAGCAAACTTTTTTTTTTTAAAGGTTAAAATGCGGCTATACGCAAACATTATTTCTGGTGCCACAATTTAACAATTTATATCGCTTATCACTGATCTAGAGATCTCTATGCAACTACTAAATAGTAAAATATCATGGTGGTCGTGTTTGGAAAATACTTAAAAATGCTATTGTAGGCTTAGTAACCAGGTAACTTAGACTTCGTGAATCCTCTGGCAAGGTCCATGTGGCAAGAGATCCTCCCTTCCTCCTCCCACAGATCAGACAACATCATACCTGAACGGCAGCTCCATGATAACACAGAGAATCAACAGCCAGCAATACAGCTCTCCTAGACGAGCACTCTTACATCCAGCACCAGAAATCACTGACTTAAGCCACTGCAACATACCCAGGAAAAAAACCACACAAAACAACCGATCCCCTCCAAAAAACCAAAAAAAACTTCCAATACTTCCAACACCAAACCCATAGATCTACATATGGTTTTAATGCAGAGAATGTAAGACAGCTTCCCAGCTCCCACTTTAGATAGATGACTATACTGATGTTCGTCCAGTAAAGCTGGGACAAGAAGTACACTCCTACGCTGGGAAGAAGGTGGCATCTAAAAAAACCCCACAACCCATAGGCAAAATGTGAACACCTTTAGGGTTTGCCTCTTTCTGGCTGAATTTCATCCTGAATATATTGCCTTTATGCAACCATACATTGAATTACATTAGCCAAGCATCCAGACAAGCACAGGCTGTATTTAAAAGGCCATAATAGAAAAGATAAAAGAGCAGGTTAACAAGTTATTTTAATAAAAAAAAAAAAAATTCAAAGAGGAAGAAAATGCTTAGCATGAACTTTTCTTCAGCTGACTACCTGTGTGAGTGTATTTTATAAACAAAGTTGCTGCAACAGGGTATAAAGAACACAGTGAAGTTAGCACAGCACAGAAAAAAAGTCTGCTCGACATTTAGGAAAACACTACTGCAAAGCTCTATTTTATAGCACCAAATCTCTGTTTGGAATACCAATACCCACATCACAGCTTTTAAAGTGATTATTTAGCTTGGCTCCTTTGCCTGCACTGAGCAATATAAACAAGTGGTGAGGGACAAAAGCCTTTCACCATAAAAGGATCACCAAACATTTGAAAAAAAATGCTACCAAAAATATAGTTTTTCCTAATTTCTAACAAAACTGCTTTGTCCCAATATCTGGGTACACATACAGATTTTAAAATCTATTTGTAATAAACTTTTCCCAAACAATAATGCTTTAAACCCTTGCCTTGTGACAGTTACCTTCTTCATCTAATAAAATCATAGACTTATAGAATAGTTTGGGTTGGAAGGGACCTTTACAGGTTATCTAGTCCAATCCCCCTGCAATAAGCAGGGACATCTTCAACTAGATCAGGCCTGACCCTTAATGTTTCTAAGGATGGGGTATCTACCACCTCTCTGGGCAACCTGGTCCAGTGTTTCACCACCCTCATCATAAAAAAATTTCTTCCTTATATCCAGTCTAAATATACTCTCTTTTAGTTTAAAAACATTCCTTCTTGTCGTATCACAACAGGCCCTACTAAAAAGTTTGCCCACATCTTTCTTATAAGCCCCCTTTTAAGTACTGAACTCTCCCCAGAGCCTTCTCTTCTCCAGGCTGAACAACCCCAACTCTCTGCCTTTCTTCACAGGAGACATATTACATCCTTCTGATAATTTTTGCGGCCCTTCTCTGGACCCACTCCAATAGGTCCATGTCTTTCCTGTGCTGAGGACTCCAAAGCTGGATGCAGTACTGCAGGTGGGGTCCCGCCTCAGCAGAG